GGGAAATGCAAACCAAAACTATATTGCAATACCACCTACATACATTATGATATCTACTATCAAAGAAACAGAAAATAACACGTGGTGGGGAGAATGTGGAGACACTGGGGTCCCTGTACACGGCTGGTGGGAATATAAAATGGTGCAGCCTCTGTGGAAAATGGTATGACCGTTCCTCAAAAAATTAAAAATAGAATTACTACATGATCTAGCAACTCTGTATCTAGGTATATACCCAATAGAATTGAAAGCAGAGTCTCAGAGGAATTTGTATGCATTCACAGCCCCATTATTCCCAATAGCCAATAGGGGAAAGCAACCGAAATGTCCACTGGCCGCTGAATGTGTGTATACACACAGTAGGATTCCATGCAGCCTCAAAAATCCTGTCACGCCCTACAACATGGATGAACCTTGAGGACATTGTGCTGTGTGAAAGAAACCAGTCACAAAAGGACAAATGCTGTATGGTTCGAATTGCATAAGGTGTACAAAATCGTCACGTTCATAGCGACAGAAAGTAGAATGATGGTTACCAAGGCTGGAGTAAGGGGAATGGAGAGTTAACGGGTACAGAGTTTCAGTTGAAAGATGAGTTCTGGAGATTGGTTGCCCAACAATGTGTATGTACTTCTCACTACTGAACTGTACACTGAAAATGGTTAAAATGATAAATTTCCCCTCTCCCTCTGCCTGCTGCTCCCCCTGCTCGTGCTCTCTCTCTCTCTCTCTGTCAAATCAATGAATAAATAAGATCTTTAAAAAAAAAAAGCTTAAAAACGGGGCGCCTGAGCGGCTCAGTTGGTTGAGTGTCTGCCTTCGATTCAGGTCATGATCCCAGGGTCCTGGGATGGAGCCCCATGTCAGGCTCCTTGCTCAGTGGGGAGTCTGTTCTTCCCTCTCCCTCTGCCTGCTGCTCCCCCTGCTTGTGCTCTCTCTCTCTCTGTCAAAAAAAAAAAAAAAGAATAAATAAAATCTTTTTAAAAAAACTTAAAAAATGATAAATTTCATGTGTTTCACCACACAAAAAAATTTTTAAATGCTATCTCGAAAACATTCAGAGCAGGGCAGGAGGCAGTGGGACTCGGTTTGTGTTGCTAAAGTTCTAGTTCCGCAGTTGAGTCATGGGTTCACCCAGTTTTATGTAAGTTGTATGCTATTTCTGAACATTCTCTGTGTGTCAGAGAAAGTTGAGCTGTTTTCAGAGCGTAGCTGTTGCAGAAGACCCCCCCCCCTTAGCTGTCCTGGGTTTAGGTGCCTCCATCTAAAGCAGACGTTGCTCTTTGTCCTCAGATCTCTCAAACTGGTTATGCTATTCTTAAAGATCCCAGCTTAAGTATCTCTCTGTTCATATAAAACTCTAATTAGACCCTCTGTTCCACCAAATAACCATTTTGGGGTGGAGCCTTTATTTGCCTTCATCTTTCATTCAGACCTCAGAGGTGCGCTCCCCCGCCCCAGCTGTTTGCTTCTGGGGGCTTTGACTCTGAGTAAAAGTCCACACTCTTCCTGTGCTCTGCAGAGTTCATTTGCTCAGTAAGTACTTACTGAGCACCTGTTATATGTCGGGCATATTTTAGATACTGAAACTACAGCAACCAGCAAAACAAAAATTCTTACCCTCTTTATATCCACCTTTCCGGAGAGAAGAATCCTAATTCTCAGCCTGTCTTCTCCCCCATCCCTTCTCGTTTATGTTTATTCTCTCTAGGCCTCTTCAATTCCGGTCTCTCTTGAGGACTGAAAAACAGCAGCCAGTCTCCAGTCTTCCTCTGGGATTTAATGGGTGACTTGGAGGTCCTCTGTCTGTGTCCGCTGCGGTTTTTCTGGGACTCTGATCTTTTTCAGTGAAGAGGGATCAGTGATTGGGAGGAAATGGGAGAGTGTAGGGGATGGAACAATAAACATACTGAGTAAAAATATTATTCTGAAAAGGAATGCATTACTGTGAAAGAGACAAAGCATTTAGACATGTTGGCAATGTATCTGGCTGCCCTCAACTCAACTGGGAGTCCCTTTCCCCCTCCACACTTAAGGGACTGTCAGTGATCAGACAGAATTGATTTCCAAAACAGAACTCCAAAAAGGTGATTCAAACTTTCTCAAGAACCCCTAATGTTGCCCACCCTTCCATACAATCTAAATTCCAGGGCATACTTTGTGTTACTTTGCTTGTCGAGTTTCTATTTTTAAATAGGCAAAATGTTCAGAAGAACTTTTTCAAGATCACTTTCTTCTAACATAAAAATACGTACTCAGGGCACCTGGGTGGCTCAGTGGGTTAAGCCGCTGCCTTCGGCTCAGGTCATGATCCCAGTGTCCTGGGATCGAGTCCCACATCGGGCTCCTTGCTCAGCGGGGAGCCTGCTTCTCTTTCTGCCTCTCCCTGCCACTTCGCCTACTTGTGCACTCTCTCTCTCTCTCTGACAAATAAATAAAATTAAAAAAAAAAAGAAAAAATTAAAAAAAAAATACGTACTCATTGTAAAGAAGTAATTCAAATATTTATAGAGTAAGAAAAAATGAAAAATCCAGTAGAGATCCCCACTGTTAATATTTTGGTATGTTTCCTCCTCAATGCACACATATTCGTATGGACACTAATGGACCCAATTTTGGTATGGACCAGAATTGGCTAGTATAATGCTGTTCTTCAGGAACCCTTCTGTCTTACTTGGCTATATAGCCTAAACATTTTTCTGTATCAATAGGTGTAGCTATACATCATCTTTTTAGATTTTATTTATTTACTTGAGAGAGCAAGTGTGAGAGAGCACAAGCAGGGTGGGGGGAGGAGGGAGGGAGAAGCAGATTCCCTGCTGAGCAGGGAGAGCAACATGGGGCTCAATCCCAGGACCCCGGGACCATGACCTGAGCCAAAGGCAGCTGCTTAACTGACTGAGCCACCCAGGCGCCCCTATACATCATCATTTGTGATGACCCTATAGCATTCCTTTGGTAGATATGTCCTAATTTTTTTTACCAAGTGCCTCTTTTTTGAGGATATAAACACCTAGAATGCGCATCTTTTATACATTTGTCGGCTCACATGTCTACTTCTTTCTTTTTTTTTTTTATTTGATTTTATTTTATTTGGGAAAGAAAGAGTTCACACGGGTTGGGGGCGGGCAGTGGCAGAGGGAGAGGGAGAGAATCTCCAGCAGACTCCACACTGAGTGCAGACCCCAGTGCAAGGTTCCATCTCATGCCCCTGAGATCATGACCTGAGCCGAAACCAAGAGTTGGACACTCAACAGATTGAGCCAGCCAGGGAATCCTCTACTTACTCCTTTAAGTCATCTTTTTAGAAATGGAATTCCTGCTAAGCCTCACCTTCTTATATTTACCTGCAGAACCTTCTTTTCAGTCCCTTTTTATGTGATAGTCAAGTGAACAAAGGTTTCCTGTCATTTCATTGATCAGTTCTAAAGTGTGTTTTC